CCGCATCAACTAACCCTGAAACATAGAAAATAGGGTTAGTTGATGCGGCGCATCGACTAACCCCCTTTATACTATATAAGGGTTAGTTGATGCGGCGCATCAACTAACCCCCCTTTACATGGACTAACACCCCATAGTTGATGCCAGGCAGCAACTAACCCCACATTAGATGAACTAACCCCCATAAGTTGATGTGCCGCAACAACTAACCCCCTCTTAGATGAACTAAATCTCAGGAATTGATTTTTAAGTGTATTCCAGGTTTAATAATTATTCCATCTTCAAAAAACACGTTTAACCCTTTTGACCCGAGTAAGTCCCTTAAAAAACTAAAAGGGGCAGTTTTACAAGTGTTTTCATACTGCTAAAGAAAATAAAAAAAAAATAAGGATAAATTGTACCCAAAAAAAGATCAGAGTCAAGGAAAAAATTCGGTACTTTGCCCATCACCAGATTTGACAAGCATAGCTTAGAGATCTAGAATAATGAGTTAGCCACACAGCCATTCTGCCACTCTGATTTAAATAAGCTTTAATCACAATCAAGTTAAAATAAATATGTTTAAAGGCACAATATGCCTAGGAAATTTTTTCCTTCTCTAGAAATGGCAAACATGTAATTTATAATGTTGATTTGATAGATTTAGAACAATGTGAGATGCTAATAACACATGAAGAAATTAATGTTAAATGTCAAATACTTGATGATTCATGGTTCATAATGTAAACAAAGTCGTATTTTGACTTCCATACAAAAAACTTTATCATTATAAGTATTCTAAGTCCAAAATGTAAAATAAGCAAATGATGGCTCATGTACAATAAGAAACTTTTTGGAAACTGTACAACAAAAATAATAGGACAACAAAAATAATAGGACAACAAAAAGAAATAGTTTTTAAAAACTAAAAATTACAGCATTTTTTAGGCTTAATGGGCCTTTAAAACAAAACTGATTCCATATGAACAGATAATGCCTTACTATAGCCAACAAGATTCTAAAGAAGACAATAAGTTAAAATACATTTTAACGATGATTCTAAGTCCTTTAAAGTTGCAAAGACTCAGGCTGACCTTCCTGAAATTACAACAAATAATAGGCACCTAGTAGGAACACGAATTCTAAGATATAGCTTCTCAAAAAGAAAAATTTACAGGATTTTGAACCAAGGGTTTAAAGACAAACTGATTTGAAAGTAACGCCTTTAAGCCACTCGGACAATAAGAAATAGCTTAAGAATATCGATGTAACAAAATTGATATTCTCTTACTTAAAGAGAGACAGTTCAGGTAGAACATTCAATATAACAATGCAATATGTTTTTAGCATCCAGTCATGAAGTTGACTAAATACAATAACACACAGGTGTAAACAATCACACCTGATATGAAACCTCTGTTACATTTATCTAGGTCTGATAGAAATTGGGTGTAAAATCTTTGGAGGATGTAGCATGACAACATCATGCAAACATTTGGCTGTTATTCCACTAACAACAGCATTGGCATGGAGTACAGAAACATATGGCAAACAGGAGATATATAAACCATATCCTGAATCTAACACTGATTTTTTTTTTCCGGGTTAATATTATAAGAGATGAGAGAATTCAAAATATTACACTTAAGTTTTAAAGTTTAAAGATTTGGTAGAAAAATGGAAGAAAAGCACATAAAGTGTCCCCCCATGACAGGGGCCAATTTTGACTCTTAGCCAACTTATATAATTGTTATAGAAGACAATTGTCATGTAGTGTGACATGTCAACTATCTAAGTTTTATAGGCATAATAGATTCTGAGGAGAAGATCTTTAAATATTTCACATTATTTTATATATATTTAGTTTCTATGACCTATATTTATGAATCATAATACCAGTATAGTGTTAAATATAGAAGAGCAGAATTTTTTTCTCTTTTTTTTTCAATAGTGCTGATTAAAAGGGACTCCACTGCAGTTTTTTGACATGATGGGACTGGAAAATCTTTTTCCAACATTTTTGTACCAATTGATGTATGTCTGAACCAAGAACTTGTGTGCAAATTTTCAGATCATTCCCTCACCAAGTTTTTCCAGAATATTCATTTTTTATTGTGCAAAATGGTCCAAAAATGAAAAACTTTGCAATGCTTTTCACAATTTGGGCTAAGAAATCGATTTTCAATGTTACTATTTTCAATGTAACAATTTTCAATGTATTCTTTTCTTTATTATCCTTTGCAGATTTTTCTCCATCTTAGTTGCTACAGTAGCCTTGATCTATGTAAAATTTCAAATTTTATGTTTTCAGGCTCTCCTCTCAGTGGAGCTCCTTTAAGATTACAGACAAATCCTGACAATTGCTTATTAATATTAAACTCCAGTAATACTATTTCAGTATGCAACCTATATATTTGTAAAACTAATGCACTAAATCTAACAGAATTATAACTAGACAATCTGGCAGATCAAGTTGTTTTCACATTCTGAAGTCTGCAATTTATAAAACAACAAAAAATTACCGACCCTGAAATTAACATGGACATGAGCCATCATACCACAATTTTCTCATATAATGATCTCACAGTACAAAACACGCTCTCACATGACAAAAATGAACTAAAAAATAAGTATTTCAAACAAATCTTTTATTTGATATCACCTGCCGATTGAGTCGATATATACCAATTCATTAAGGTTCATAATTCGTAATTTTGCAGTTGTGCAATTTACAAAACGCTCAAAGCCTGTAAATAATAAAACAACAATTAAAGTGTTGCTAAAAGTACATTATGCTGAAAGTTTTATGTTGTTCTGAAGTGCCAGCTGACATATTTATTTCTCATTTATTTAGACAAAAATTCATTCTGTTCACTGTTACATTGATAAATCAACTGAATTTCTATTTTGTTTGATCTATCTGTTTGGTTCAGTTATTATTATAATTATGAAAGTCAGGTGGCAAAATTACGGCCAAAAGAAATTCCGGTAGGAGGAGGATCTCAGCCTGAACCTGATCTCAGTGCACTAAATGAGACTGGAAGTATTGACCTTAACTACTTAATTTTGGAGGTTACTATTGAAACTTTGAATGAAATTAATACTGTGCTTTAAATCATTCATAATACTGAATTTATAAAATACAATGTTTACAGTGGTTTATCAAGATAACAACCTTTTATTTATCAACAGTTACCAGAAAAAATGAAAAAGTAATTTCTTCCCTTTGTTTTAAATACATCATTTGCATCATACATCAAAGTATGAATAAGAGTGTGAAAACATTACATGATTTACTCCCCTTTGTAAAAAAATGCTCAAGCAGACTATGAAATAAGTATGTTTGAAGTGCTTTAAATTTCTTCCAAAACAGCAATGAGACAGCAATAAACAAACATGTATACAATTTTTTTTCTGTTTAAGATCTTCATTTTATTTCATGATTATGGCTTCCATGCTTTTGAAGTGGAACTCATTAATTATTCACATGAAAACCAGACTATCCATCTGCTTGATATAACATTCAATTAAAACCTTTTTTGAGAGTGGCAATTTAAATTTCCTCAGAATTTAACAATATGAAAAAACAATTTGTTTTTTTGTTTGTATGATTTGGTTTTACCTCACACTGACACAGTACAGATCATATGGCGACGGTGAAGGGAGACTCAGGTGCCTTTCTGTGCATTATTTTAGGCATGAACAGGCACCTGAGTAGAATCACCGATGTTCCGTAAGAAAAAAACAATATGTGTGTTAGCTTGATTACCTTATTGAAATGTGCTGAATTGATGTAACCTTGACAAATAAAATATTCTAGTCCACTTGGTTATATTATAAGCATAAAATGATATCAAAACAGTATAATGGGTTTGCAACCGAGGACTCCTAGCCGCCTATCCGTCTTATAAATGCTGTTCGGTTGGGTTTTATCTAATTAATAAGCAGAACAGAGGTTTTTTTAGTATTACAATGAGGCGAAAAAAGTTTAAATTGATTATAAATATTACCTTAGTTATAGCAAGAAATGACTGTTTGTACTTTAGTTGTACTCAACAATGTATTTTTCCGATCTGACCGAGTACGGGAAAAAAGTTACTCCACATTTGGATATGTATTGTAATCATTTTGAGTACAACAAAATGCAAACAAAATATCATACCTTGTCATAAAGAAAGAAAGTGATTTTTTTAGTACAGTCAGTTCAAGGTTTAACACATTTATTAAATCACTGTTTAAACAGTAAGCATTTTTTTCTAACCGCGACACCCCTTGTATACATATAAATTTTATTATGATATCAGCAAGTCACCACGTTTAGATATTAATACAAATTATTCCATTTACAAATTTCTGCTCTTTTTTTTCGTTACATTAAAATTTAATTTTCACAATTAATAATCATAATGAGGAAGATTATGTTCTTTTTTTACCCATGGAACACTATTTTACTGTTATACATGCATATTGTGTTTAACTTTTCATATGTTTTGCACGATTTTTTCTATGCATCATCACATATTTTCACGACTCGTCATGTTACCATAATTCTATAATAATCATACCTCAGAGCATTTTCCAAATAAAAAAACTTTTATCTCAGCATTTTGCAAGGAAATAAAATAAAAACATTTACGAAATAAAATTGATATCATTAAAGATTATCCTACAAACAAGATATCACAAAATTTGACAGTTAATTTCAGATAAAGAAATATGTTTTTTAATCAAACGCCTGTAATTCCTCGCAGCATGCCTGCAGATCTAACCAGATAAGTGAATGAAAACATTACGATGAAGAATTTTGATAAATTTTCAGTACCTCTTTACAAACTTTTATACGCCTTTGGGAAATTTTATTTACTTTTAAACAGTTAAATTCGTGACTAAGAAAATACTGGGTTAAAAAGATTCATGGGACTAATTTCTTTTTCCCCCCCAAAATTTAAAGTTTTTAAAAGTTAAAGGGGGTTAAAAATCTACGAATATCAGGGGGGCCCTGGCAAAAAAACCAAATGTGCTGAAGTTATTTCAAGAATCCGCCTGGTAAAGGACAGTTACAGAAGAGAGTCCCGAATTAATTATTCATGTAAGATTGGGTAGTTTTTATGTCAATGTTCCGTGATAACAATCAGGAGAATTACATTGTCATCACAGTGAAAGATACAGTGAAAACGAAGGGGGGAAAAAAAATACCGGCTTATCCTTCCATATTGGTGAATGAATGTGGCACACTGGTGTCTCAATCAATACAGGTGGGAAAACATTGGATACTTTTATAACTTAACGATATATACTAGATTTCACTGAGAATACACGAGTGCAAGAGAAGGAAAAAACAAACTTTCTTCCAAGATTAAAGTTTTGCACTAAATGGAATATTACAGACCTTAGGTAAATATCTGATTCATTTTCAGCATAGTTAATAATTTCATCATTTCATTAATCGTAGTATCGATATTTTTGATAGAAAAAACAGATAAAGAGATAACTTTCACATCAGATATTGTATATTTATGAGCCAGTAATTGACAATTTTTGCTATATGATATATTGTAATACAAAGCATATTTTGTGAGATTTGGTTATACTTTTTAAGTCAGCAGCAATAATTGAGTGATATTAGAATTTTGATTCTGGCACATTTTGTATAGCTGAGGTAGGCAACGAATTCAAGGCAGAAAATATCAATAAACTATATAAAGATATTGAATTGGGGCTTTTACTACAAATAATGGATGTGAATGGAAGTGGTATTGAACTTACCTCTTTGTTTACATTATAGAAATTAAAACTAATAGACTAGTGAAAGTATTCAATGAAAGCTTAACCTCCTGAATTGGTGTTAAATGGATTTGCCCTGCTTTGAATGTGGGCCCTGCTTTGAATGTGGAACAGGCCATTCAATAAGTAAGGCATTTCAAGAATAAAATGCATAAATAAGGTCAACCATCAGTTTGGAGACATAATACAGATTGGTCTTACTCTATACTGGTGGCAAGGGGTATATTTCATCACTTTTGGTTTGTTATCATTATACTTCAAGATTAATGTAAAAGTCTTAAGTTACATAATATTGGTGATTTTTTTTTATTCATAATAATCTGCTACTGATTTTACTATAATTGTTGTTGTTGTTGTTGTTGTTCAGTTTTCCAGATTAGTAATTCCAACTGCCAAAACTGTCCAAAAATAACTTAAATTGGCTTATAATATCACAAATACAATTTTCAATTTATTACTTCTTAATTATCTTTTGCATATCTTTCTGTTTTAAGTATCTCAACTAATCTATATAAGAAATTCAATTTTATATATTTTTTATGTTTTTGGACCTCAGTGGAGTCCCTTTAAAGACAAAAATTACTATATGATACATTAATAGGTTGTGATGACTTTATTGAGCTCATTGAAGACAGAAATATTTATGACTATGATTCACACTATAAAGTTCTATGAACGTTAAGATATACCTATATATTCAAATAAACGCTATCTGATGTAGTATGAGGGATATATATGCATTTATCTGATTCCAAGAAGAATAAAATTACACCCCTATCTATATTACAGTGGGCTATTTATATATTAACATGGGACATTTTTTCTTTATCAAACTGTGATATAAGTAAAAACTGATTATTATATGGGGCTATGCCAGACTCATTTATGACTTACATGTAATGTTACATGTAATGAGTTTGGAAAACAGAAATGATATAAAGGGAATTGTTACATTTCCTAAAGAATAAAAACTTTTGTTGATAAACCTTGATAAAAAGGATGAAAATTTTGATGATGATAATTATTGAAATGGTGCTAATGTCAGTGGCAATGAAGAGGATGCTAATAGAATGACTATTTGATTAACTGTGTGATGATTATAGATGCCGTAAGGATGATAATTATGTTGTTAATGATGATAATGTTGGTAATGATGTTGATGATGATGACAATGATGTTAATGCTGATGATATTAATAATAAGTGGTGATCATGATGATAATGATGGTTTTCAGTGGTGGTAACCAATGCTGATTTCAGTAAAGTGGTTGATGGTGGTGGTGGAAGTAGTAGTGATGACGATGTTGATGTTGTTGATTGATGATGAAGTTGCAGATGGTAGTAACATTGATGATCATAATTATGATGGTGATAGTGGTGATGGTTGTAGTGATGATGATGATGCTGATGATGATGAAGTTGGAGATGATTGTAATGATGATGGCAGAATTAATGATGATGATGAAGTTGGAGATGATGATGTTGGTGGTGGTGGTAGTAACAATAATATTCATATCAGTAATAGTGGTATTGGTAGAAGTGTTGATGATGTTGATGATGATGATGAAGATGATGATGATGATGATGAAGATGAAGATGGTGATGAAGATGAAGATGAAGTTGATAAGAATGGTGATAGATTTATTATAGTACATTATAAAATTTATCATTATAATGATGATAATGGCAAAATAAGATGATAGATGTTGGTGATTTTAATTATCATTGATCATAAATAATACCTCATGTTTTTGCTACTTTAATATGCAATCATGATTATGATAAAGGTTATCATACCTGTTCTTGAACATTTGTTTGAAAAAGTAAATCAAAGAAGCAGACTGATCTCCATGCATGCTTTACATAGGAATATAAGAATTAAAATTGCTTTTGTAAATTTAACATGGTGAATAAGTTTTAAAGTTTAGTTGCAAAAGATAAAAGTATCATGCAGACTATATAATCAAAGTAATAATTATCCAAAAGAATTTTTTGCCATAATCAGTCTTTTAAACCTTTGAAGTATGGGTCAAAAACATTTTAAATTTTTCACTTACATTTTACAAAGAAAAAAGTTTAGTTTTAGACCATTTTGTATTCAAATAAAATGCAAGGTAGTGGTCTTCAAACAGAATACAGATGCTTTTAATTAATTTTACCTTACAAAAAAGTAAGTTAATTACAAAATTTGTAATTCATGAAACAAGGTGTTTCTCTTTCCGCATGGCAGTAAAACATGCAATGGTTATTTGCACATTTTCTACATTAATTAGTGAATGATTAAGTACAATCAAGTTAAAAAGATTACATAATTCATTTAGTTAGTTGTTTACTTTCAACATTTTATTACCATTAACATTTTATTTTTATTACAGATTTGAAAATTTCTAGGCAATATATTATATGCTAACAAAGCAATTTTCTTTCCCGTTTAGTTCTATTAATACTACATGTAAGCTCAAAGCAATTATAATAAAACCAAGCCAAATCTTATCCTGCTAAATTAATGTATAAGGATTTGACGAACTTTGCATTTGGAACAGTCTCTCGAATGTTTAAAGCATTATAATCTAATAATATAACATTTGAGCTACCAACTGTATAGAGCTTGTAATTATAAGCCTTGAGGTTATAAAACTTTTTCTGAGTTCCATCTTTAAATTCTCAGGATTTTCATTGGTCAGTGAACATTCTGTGACAGTGTACACTGACCAATCAAATTCTTGGGATCTAAGTTTGAGCTTAGAGAATTTCTTTATTACATCAGGCATGGATTATACATAAATATCATATACATTGTACACACTTAAACCAAGCAGGAAACTGAATAAAAAAAAAAGAGAAAATATATTTGAAGATTCTATCTTTCAAAACACATATTATCATGCATACAATATCTCTTCATGAAAAACAGACATGACAGAAAACAGAAATATCATTCACTGAAGATTGATTGAAGTTTGCATGCATTTGTTTCACAGTTTGACTTTCTGTCAGAATGCAGAACAGAATGCTTTCAAACTATTAACGTTAACAGATGACAAGATTAATTTTACTACTTTTGTGAAAGACTATCAAAATTTGCTCCATAATTTTCACTAAATGTATGATCCGCAGATAAACAATATCATATCAACAAACCAGGTTATATAAGGTGTCACATATTTTTTAATTTAGGGCTCATACTCAACTTTTCATGGAATGGCATGAAAGTGTCACACTGAGGGTTCACTGATCATGCAACATTTTTAATATTGCCATGTTGGGCAATCTTTGTTTCTATTTTGACTGTTCTATAGTTAGATATTAGCTCATTATCTCCATCTGATTTGCTTCACATTGCATACCTTGTTTATATTAATTGTTAAACATATTTTAATATATCAAGAAAATGTCAAAATTCACTTGGTGTTGACAGCTTGGTGTACACCAAGCGCCACACCTACCTTGCGGAAGGTGGCCCCCTGCTGCACCATCCCTACAGCCCTCCATAACTCTCACTGCTTCTCTCAAATGCTGCCTCAAAAATGTTAGCATTTGCCATATCAAAGTGACAGATATAAGATATGTAAGATGTAAGAATGACAATAAGCCCAGATATGTCCCCTGACATGAATCCGTGTTGACTAACCCGTTACAACTTGTCTAGGTAGCATGGAATGCATGCACCCTAATATTTTCATGATTTTGATGGAGTCAGTACAATCACATGTCTTTTGTTATACGGCAACATAATGTCAATGCATGCTAGGTTGCATGCTTTCCATGCTACCTAGATGAGTTGTAACAGATTAGTCAACACGGATTCATGTCAGGGGACTTATCTCAAAACATTGCTGAATCAGAATTTTCAAAAATTGGAAGGAAATCTGTTTTATACTTGTGATAATATAAAAATTAACTTATGAGGCTTAGCAAAAGATGAGTAGTATAGTATGCAATTGTTGCCTAAATAAAAATTGTTTGAAAGAGTAACTGATTTCAAACTGCCAGAGTCTGTTCTCCACCCTCCAATATCTTCAATCAAACACTATACAAATATACAACATTTAATCTGTACTTGTTCACCACAGCACTTCACCATATCCAAAGCTTTCAATCAGGTGCCCAGCAAAAGTGGCTTATCAGTCATCTCTGGTTATTTGTATGTAAGCCCTTCTTCATATTGTCAAAAAATGAGCATATATCATTCACTTGATTATTACCTACAGGGGTTTTTCATGGGATCAAAAGATTCCAACCAGCTTTAAAAAATGATCTTGTTTGGAAAAACATGCTTCAAAGATGTAGATAAAGGCAGGTGCATCAAACACAATATTAACTAAGCTCAGGATTGAGGTAGCATTCATCAAAATCATATCATTTTTTGCCAATTGTTTATTTTACTTCAAGTTACTTGTAACAGTATGTTCAAAGATATTTTTGTTTAAAAAAAACAACAAATATTAGCTTAATCTTGATGTTGCTTTATTATCAATGAAAATCTGTACTTGTTACATAATATATGTAAAGATATATTTGTTTTGGCTTAATGTTTGAATAAATATAGTAGACAAACTTCATCCTAACTAATGAAATTTTTAACTATTTAAAAAATTATAATAAATTTGC